TGAAATTGAAACCCTGAAATTAATGATTTTGGATATTGTATATATGTGGAGCAGGCGAAGAGAAATCCATCTTTAGATGCGTTACTGTCGGACGTCTGTATTGGAACCTCAGCAGCACCGAGTTATCTTCCACCCCATTGTTTCACCACCAAAAATACTACTAGCAGTGGTACTGAAGAAATCAAAGAATTCAACCTAATAGATGGTGGTGTTGCAGCCAATAACCCGGTAAATATATTTATTATTTTATATATTAATGTGAGTTAATTAAAAAGATTAATTGATGAGAAGTTAATGCTACACCCGTCAGTTTTAGACATTTACTAACACCTGTTAATTCAGTTGTTAAAATTTGCAATATACAGTTTTCATATAATTTTTTAATGAATGTCTTGTCAATATATTACATAAGAAAATGTAGTAATTATTGTCCCTAATTAATATATGTAACTTAATTTTGCCTTGTATTAATTGGGCCTTGCTAGCTAATATTACTTAATTTGATTTGCTCGTATAGACTTTAGTGGCTATGGGGGAAGCAAAGAAGGAGATGACAGGGGTCAGAGGAGGCTCAAACAGATTTCTGGTTATATCCTTAGGAACTGGCTCAAACAGTTCAACTAAAGACAAACACAGTGCAAAAGAGGCGACCAAATGGAATTTGTTTGGTCGGCTACGTCGTATGGTTGAAGTATTCACTGAAGCCAGTGCCGACATGGTCGACTACCACGTCTCCGTCGTACTCAAATGGCTAAAATCTGAAGAAAATTACCTTCGTATTCAGGTACCCTATATACGTAGACTTAATTCATTAATTTAATTTGTTTCTATAGCATGCATCATGTCAATAACCAATCATATAATTAATACAAAATATGTGTGTGTGGGTGTTTGTTTACAGGATGATACATTAAGTGGGGTGTTAGGTTCAATTGATATAGCAACAAAGAAGAATTTGGATGATCTTGTGGAAGTAGGGGAAAAACTTTTGAAAATGCCAGTTTCTAAGGTTAATTTGGAAACGGGTTTGATTGAGCCTAGTGATCAAGAATCTAATGAAAAGGCTCTCAAGAGGTTACAAATCTTAATTACCCCTAATTAATTTCTTTAATTCATACAATATATATAATTCTTCTCGTACTTATGTCTATAAATTTTTTATGTTTCAGGTTTGCTGAAAGACTGTCCGAGGAGAAGCGGGGTCGCACTCGTAACTCACCTCATCTGGAGACTGCAATTCCAAATAATGTTAATAATAATTAGATACTAGAAAAAAAAAATTTTATTGAGATATGGATTCTTTACTTAATCAATAAGGTTTAGTCTATAAAGAATTAACCAAATTCTCTGCTATAATTATACTCATGTTGCTTTTTTACCTCAATTTGATTAGTGATTACTGTAAGTTTGTAATATTTTATTGTGAGATTAAATGTGTTTTTGATATATATAAATTTTCAATTTCTTTATAGTTAATAAAATATAATATATGCGATAACGGTCTCAAGGTCTAATGGTCATTAATTCTTTATAAAAGTTTTCTCATACTAACTTAAAGTGTGAAATTTGAATCTCACTCTAATATTCAAAAGATATATAGTATATATATAAAAATTGGTACATATTAGTTTTAAATAAAAAAAATAAGAATCTCATATTATATTTAGAAATTAAAATTTTAATTTTAAAATTTTAAAATTTATTGATATTTAAATTTAAAAATTGATTATATATTATAATATAAAATTTTTTAAATATTAATATTAATATTTAATAAAATAAATTTTTTAATTTTAAATTAAGTTTAAATAAAATAAAATAATTTAAAATTAAATTTTTTTTATCTTGATTACATAATGAAAGGTAATCATCTTTTATTTTTTATTACGCTTCACTTGTATAACATACAACTCAAATTTAAAATCTCTAATTTCTAGTAAAAAAAATAATTATTGAGTTATTTAAGTTGTTGACAAAATTCTAATTTATTTTATTAGTTAAAACTGATATATAATTTTTCTATACATGTTTTCTTTATTTTCGATAATTTTTATTTTATTGGGTTTTTAAATTTTAGACTCCGCGTGGTTGGCTTTTTTCGGTCTGAACCGTCCCTCATTCTTGTGAACATCATGTTGGTTAAACCCAATTCAGTTTCTTCTACTCGGCCCGACTAGTATACCTTTCATTTGGGCCAAACAGTATCTCTTTTATTAAGGCCCATATTTACGGACACGACGTTTTGCGCCACCAACAGGGCAGATTTCAAAATTCACGCAAAACAAAGGCGGGAGAGCCGAGTTTCATGGTCCCATCTTTCCCGCTAAAAGCCTAAAACCACACT